CCTGGAAAGCGGCTCTGGGAGAGAGAGAGCAGAGGCGCTCACAGACGCAAGGTACTGGATATCGGCCTTCAGGGAGAGTGGGGTTTGCAGCGGAAGGGGAGCAGCCCTATCCACCTCCCGGGGCATCCGCGTTCACCACAGGTCTGCTGGGGAGAAGCCAACTACCCGGTGGGCTTGGGAGAGGAGAACTGCGTGTCAAGTTTAATGGGGACCCGAAACAGCTGTCTTACTTCATAACTAATGTAAGGCACTTCATGGAAGATTATGGGGATACCTTCCCCTCGGAGGGGGACATGATCCACGCCGTGGGGGCCAACCTCAAGGATGCCACCGCTGACTGGCTGATGCAAATGTATGACACCCGAGCGCCAGAGCTAAGGAGGCTGGATGATTTCCTGAGGGCGCTCCGAGAGAGGTTCCAAGACCCCCTAGCCCAAGAAAAAGCAAAGGGACAGCTCAAGAAGATTTACCAGGGCAATAAGACTGTGTCCGAATATGCCCTGGAATTCAAAGCGATAGCGGGCAGAATCAGGGACTGGTCTGAGACCACTAAGCTGGAATACTTTCGGGCTGGGCTACGCTCCGACGTTTTGGAGTGGGCTATGCATCGCGAAAACCCTGATAACCTGGAGGATTGGATCGTTTTGGCTGGGAGGGTCGAGTGCGACCAAGAACAGATGCCCCGTCGAGCGAAGGAGAGAGGGAGAATCCGACACCCGGCAGCCGGCCAGCCTGGAGGGATGAGATGCCCCTCGCCCAGAGGGAGGTCGTCCAGCTGCGAGAGGAGAGTAAGGAGGGGGGCCTGCTACTCCTGCGGACGGGAAGGGCATAGAGCCGCCGAATGCACCAGAGGGTCCAGCGCTTCCAAGGTCGACAAGGCCCTTCCCCAAAAACCGACACCGGGCCCTAAAGCCGCTAAAGGAAAAGCCTCCACAGCTGTGGAGACAGCGTTGGGGCCCCACCAGCTCCCTGCGGAAGAGGTTGAGCTGGAGGACGCAGACGACGACTACCCCCTGACGGGAAACGGGCAAGATCTCCTGTGAAGGCCGCCGGCAGGCAGATCGAAGGCTCCCAAGGCGGTGAGTTAAAAAGGCTCAACTGTGATGTAGTTAAAATGACGATAACTCTAACAAATCCAGAGTCGGGGTTGAAAGTAGAAACGGAGGCAATGTTGGACTGTGGGTGCACCAGGTGCTTGATCACCCCGACACTAGTGGCCCAATTGGGGGTCAAGCCCCAACCCCTAAAGACGCCCATTGTCTTCGCCCAGCTAGATGGGTCCTCTGCCCATGGGGCCCCAGTGAGGGAGAAAACGGGTTACTTACACTTAGAGATGGGGACCCACAAAGAGACTTTACAATTTATAATATCTCCCATGGCCCATCAGCCAGTCATCTTGGGGATCCCGTGGCTAAAATGGCAAAATCCCCGGATTAACTGGGCAGAGGGAACTCTCGTCTTTACAGATGGGGAATACAGACATAGAGGGCCCGCACAGGCATCGCACAAGTCTCAACCCCAAGGGGCCCAGGCAGAGGCCGCGCCTGCAGGCCAGGGAGTTAACATCCCAAGCGTCTACCGGAAGTGGGCTGAGGTTTTCAGTGAGACTGAATGTGACCAGCTGCCGCCCCATAGAAAAACGGACTGCGCAATTGAGTTTGAACCCAATGCCACGCTGCCAAGCCCTAAGCTATATGCAATGTCAGAGCCAGAAAAAAAAAGCCCTGAGAGAGTTTATTGACAAGAACTTGGAGAGGGGATTCATAGAGCCATCCAGCTCCCCAGTGGCAGCACCCGTGCTATTTAGACCCAAGGCTGATGGGTCATTAAGGCTGTGTGTAGATTACCGAGGCCTGAACGCAATCTGCACGTCCAACAAGTACCCCCTCCCCCTCATGTCGGACATTTTGGCGCAATTGGGTAAAGCACGAATCTTTACCAATCTGGACATTAGAGAGGCATTTTATAGACTGAGGGTGCGAGATGAAGATTGTTGGAAAACGGCATTTAATTGTCACTTAGGGCAGTTCCAATTCCGGGTCTGTCCAATGGATCTGACAGTATATTACACTCTAAGAGTGAATAAACAATTTCACCAGATCTGTGAACTTGGCAGAAGTCAATCTGTTTAGTGTGGTAATATGACCTGACTGTTGGATCACTGGAAGAAAAAGTCTGGAACATGTTGATAAATGTGATCTTCTAAATAAAAATGCAATGTTTGTTTGTGGGATTAACATAACTCAAAAACCACTGGGTGAATTGACATGAAATTTGGACACAAGACACCTATCAGGCCGACGAGTGACCATCACTCATAAAAACACTGAAAAACACTGCGGAAGGGACTTTAAAAGCAACCCCCCCAAAAAAACAACTCCCCCAGCAAACAAAACACACAATAGCATATCCACACTCTCTTCCGGACTACAGCTCCCAGCATCCCCTAGACCAGGCCCTTTAGGAGAGGAGGATGATCCAAATGCACTGCTTCCAAGCTGCAAGCTTTCTTCTCCTTGGATTTCTTTGAGAGCATCCCAATCCCTGCATATTTCCAATTTTCTATTCCTGGACTGCAACTCCCAGCAATCCTCCAGATAGATAGATAGATAGATAGATAGATAAATAGATCAGGAGGACTGCTGGGAGTTGCAGTCCAAGAATAGGTAGAGAAGGAAGAAAGGAGAAAAGGAAAAAGGGAGGGGAAGGAAGGAAAGAGGTAGAGAAGGAAGGAGGAAGAAGAAAAAAGGAAAGGAAGGAAGGAAAGAGGGAGGAAGGAAGGAGAGAGAGAAAGGATGAGAGAAAGAGGGAAGTTTGTCCACAGCAATGTGTGGCGGGTACAGCTAGTTTATATATAAACTAACACAACTCAGGAGAATTAACTGAATGAGCAGGTATGAAAAATTCAAGTACAGGCTGAAGGCATGCCAGATGAAGCAGTTTCCTCAAGAAGGGAATCATATAGATCTCCTGGGTGGATGGACTCCATGACAGCCACATGATGCACATGGTTTATTTTCCAGGTGTTGCATCCTTGTCCCACATTAAGAAAAGTAATGGGATGCTCCAAAGCTTACCACTTTTAAGACAAGTGTAAACAATTGTTTCCTATTCAGGAAGCATCTACGGCTGTCCATACTGCCATATAGCTTTTCCTAGGCTTGACAGACAATGGACAAGGAATGCCACTTTCATTTCTCTGCCTATCTGGCCTTTGTGATGACCACTGGAAATGAAAATGGTGCTTGGCCTGTGTAATGACGATAGCCAAAACAATGAAGCTATTGGAGAAGGGATGTGGAAAACGAGGGAGCAATTTCTCCTTTCCCTCTTTTTTCTTGCATCACTTTAACCCTCTGGCTACCATCCTGTGTAGATGAGCATAGTTGTTTGTGTCTTGTGTATATGGCCCCAAATTTATTAGGGGGTGTCACAGAGGAGACCTTTTCAAACCATGGCTTTCACATACAAAAAACTCAGAAAATTATTTCAATACTTTGCGCTGTTACCCATGCAGCACCCAAAACTTTGTTTTACTTTTAATTAAGTATTTCACAAATACTTTTTGTGTTTTTTCTTCTTCCACATGGTGGCAGTATTTAATCTTACATCAAGTTATAGTATGATTCTGAGAAAGATCACTCAAGCTCTAAATAAATTTTGCCGTCCCCAAATGTCTAGCATTGCAAAAAGTGAAATATTGAACATTTTCCACACAAGGAACGTTTATATTTGCTCTGTGTTTTTTCCCTTGATACCTTTGTCTCTGTTCTCTTTGGATGCCTATATTTGTAAATACTATATTTGTATATACTATATTTGTAAATATTCACATGTAGTTTTACGTTATTGCACTACTGGGAATTTGTAGACTGAAGGATAATTTCATTGAGAGGCAGAATTTTCATGGGAGGGGTAATGTTCTTACCCCCTTTCCCGGCAATTACAACCTTGTTTCACTATTTTTAAATGGGAGATTCTATAGTCACCTTCTGCCAGTAGTTGGCCATAGAACTGCACTGAAGGACCTAGAGATTCCTAGAGAAGCGTTCTCTAGGAATCTCTAGGTCCATTCGACTTTATGGTCAATGCCTGGTGAAATGTAACCATAGAATCAGACTGGAAGACTTAGAAATTTCTAGAGTGAACATTTCAATCAAATCTGCAAAACTCAAACCTGCCTGTGACTGACTGGAGTAGCATGTGGGATAGACATATCCATTCATTCTCTCTGGCCCCTTCTACACTGGCATACAGAGATAGTCCATATAGGCATGTTTAGCCTGCAGAAGAGAAGGCCGAGAGGAGACATAATGACCATGTATAAATATGTGAGGGGAAGTCATATGGAGGAGGGAGCAAACTTGTTTTCTGCTGCCCTGGAGACTAGGACATGGAACAATGGCTCCAAACTACAGGGAAGGAGATTCCACCTAAACATTAGGAAGAACTTCCTGACTGTGAGAGCTGTTCAGCAGTGGGACTCACTGCCTGGGAGTGTGGTGGAGGCTCTTTCTTTGGAGGCTTTTAAGTAGAGGCTGAATGGCCATCTGTTGTGGCTGCTTTGAATGCAATTTTCCTTCTTCTTGGTAGGAGGTTGGACTGGATGGTTCACAAGGTCTCTTCCAACTCTATGATTCTATGATTCTATGATATTATCTACTTTGAACTTGATTATATTAGTCTACACTGCCATTTAGTCCAATTCAAATCATTTAATCTGGATTTTATATGGAGCTTCCATCTCAGTGTGCCACGGTCCAAACTAAAATCACTTTTCAATTGCCTGAAGGCTGCTGTCTTATCACATGATATATTTGTACTCACAAAGTTCTACTGCAAATAATCTTCTTGAACAGTAGCATAACGTCACAAAATCTATTTACAATAGAGAAAAGCAAATTCTCAGACTTGTATAACCCTAACCAAAGATGTTTTCTTCCTATGCAAGGTGGGTTGAAGTACAGCCATTTTCTGACTGCCCACATTGGTTTTCTCAGCAGAAATAAAGACTGCCTCAAAATTTGGGAACTCTTCGAAAAAGCATTTATGTACAAGGACCCATGCAGCATAACTGAGAAAGATTACCAGCCTCTGATGGACATGGCAAGGCATTCTATCCCTTGTAATAAGGTAACCCTCTGGATTTTTGGAGTGTTTTTGAACTCTTTTATTCTGCTGGATTCCTTGGAAAGAGTTTGCTACCCTTATTCCATATTGACTTTATTTTCTTCATAAAGAGTATTTTCAGTAACCCGTGACCTTTCAATGTGTCATTTTTAATATGCTATATTTAACCTTTTGTGCAAACAACAAAAACATTTTTTTTGCAGTTTACTGACCTTTTTCCATGTTTTCATGATAGAGCCAATTAGAAAATGACATTTATAACCCAGGAACAAAAATTGTTTATATAATGTTATGTATGCAATGGATCGCCAACATTGCTTTTTCATGAGCTATCCCAAAATTGGACAGGTGATTATAAATGGTAGCCACTGATATTTTTCCAACGTATGGCTATTAATGATTTTTTCCTGTTCCACTATAAATTTCCAGGAAAAAACAGTGTAGTCAATGAAAGTGTTTATAGTGCCAGTCCCATCACATTAAGCGGAAAACTCTGCTGGTTCCCCATATTAGTTTGCTTAAGAAGTACAGTGTGGTATGACTCATACTGCATCCTATGAACTACCCAGGTGCCCTCGAGTCTAATGGAGAATGCCATCCTAATGCCAATGTTGAAATAAAATTCAGCTGGGTTGCTGTGAATTTTCTGGGCTGTATGGCTATGTTCCAGACAGGGCCATAGCAAGAAAAAATTTTCGGGGAGGGTTGAAATTTTTGAGGGGGGTTGAAAATTTGGGGGGGGGTTGAAACCTGCCTCTTAGCTCACGCTGAAGCAAAGAGCACAGCAGAGGGCAGAGCAGCCTTCAATAGCCTGCAGCTCCACCCCTGTCAACCACCTCCACCAAGTCTGGTCTCCTTCATGAGGGCCTTCAAATCTAACCCCCCCCCCAACTTGGTTGCTTTGCTACATCGGCTATTGCTGCAAGTAATGGCAGTGTGAATAAACTGTCGATATTTGCTTGAGATAGTACTTGCAGTTCTGGAGGGACTCTTAATTTTTTGTGTCTCATAGACTTAGCATGGGGATTTGGTTAACCAGTTAAAATTCATGAGTAAACCAGGTTTATTTTTTTTAACCTGAAAAATTTCGGGGGGGGGGTTGAACCCCTAACCCCCCCCCCCCCGCTACAGGCCTGCTTCCAGAAGCATTTATCTCCTGTGTTTCACTCCACACTTATGGAGAGGGACTAGAAAAACAGAAATAGAAAATTAAAATAAAAAAAGGAAAAAAAAGAGCGGCATCCTCAGAGGTTGTGAGGTCTATTGGAAATTAGACTCACAACCTCTGAGGATGACTGCCATAGATGTGGACAAAATGTCAAGAGAGAATGCTACTGGAACATGGCTATATAGCCTGGAAAACTCACAACAACCCAGTCATTCTGACCACGAAAGCCTTCGACAACACAAAATTCGGCAGTTTCTCCATTTGAGTTCTATACATGGACTTGGGGGGAAGGGTGAATCCTCTTCTTTGTACCAGACATTTAGAGTATTATAGATAAACATTACAGCAGTACTTTATTTATTTATTTATTTATTTGATGCATTTATTAACCGCCATTCTCAGCCCTTTAGGGCGACTCATGGCGGTGTACACACATATAAGGACAATTTACAAAAAGGCAATTACAACAGCATATAAACTACTTTGAGCCAAATGTAATATGTATGTATGTATGTATGTATGTATGTATTTGCCATACTGGTATCCTGCCCTTCTCTACCCCGACAGGGGAGCTCACGTTGTGCCTCAACAACAGTTACCTAAACATTTCAAAAATTGCAACATATTTAAACAGAGTTAAAACAGATTAAAATTTAAAACTTGGAAAATACGCTTGGATGATATAAATAGGAGGAAATATATTATTGTTGCTATGTTCCTTCTTGTTGTTGTTTCTGACTTATAATGGCCCTATCACAACTTTCTGGGTCTTCATGGCTAAGGTAGGAATCAAACTCTGGTGTCCAGTATTCAAACCAGTACACTATGTTCTTTATTGTTTTTCTATTTGTAGTCACTATTCTGGAGCAAGACAGGTAACCTTGTCCATCGTTACACTAAAGCTAATCAGGATTTTGTCACTTTGGAGGATACTCTGCTAGGCTATATAGCGGATGGCATTTCGTGGTGTGGAGACCCCTCTAGCCCAGGTAAGAAGAGTTTCCAATTCTGTGCAAGAGATACATGATTTTTGGTGGAGGAGCATATGGAGGGGGGCAGATATTTCCATGACATTCTTAAGAGATTTGTAATGGGAAGAATTTTGTGTCTGCAGAAGGAAGGTTTCCATAGTGAATTAGCAGGAGGCAACTAAATGAATTTTCGAAGAAAAAAATCAGTGGAATAGAAAAGTTCTACATTATGCACACAAGTACAAAACATTTTCTTATATTAGGGAGAAAACAGAAAATATGTGTTAGATCATATTAATAGAAGGATTAATATGAAAGAGGGAGGGGGATAGAGAAAAAGTGAGAGATTATATGAAATCCTAATTCTTTTTGCTTCACAGAGCACTAGATATTTATTTATGTTTTAAAATTTCTTTATTTTAGGAATAAACTACAAGTCTTGCCCAAAATGGACCGAATGTGAAAGTAACCCAGGTACAATATATTGGAAAATGGCTTCCAAGATGGTATGTTCTTTAGAACCCTCTTCAGTATTAAAAGACATTCAATAATCTATCATATAACAATATTTGATAATATAAAAAGATTAATGAAAATAAAGTCCTAAATAAAATAAAGTCCTAAATCCAGTTGATAATTTAGTTACAGTAGACACACTGGATCAGTTGCAGAAGTAATGGCCCTATCTACACTGATTACTTAGGCCAGTAATTTAGATTTGGATTGAGTTTTTTTCCTCGACTTAGAGGTAGTGGGGGCAGTTGGGTAGGTCCCCCCTCCCCCCGGAACTGCTCCCGACTGCCATTCCACATTCCCTGGCCTCATGGGCAATGGGACACAGAATAGCAGTGCCCTTTCCCTCCTTTTACAGTGGTCTCCAGCCATGATATGGTGCCTACCTTTCCACTGTCACTTGTCCTGACACCAACCAAAGTGACGGGGAGTGCTGGAAAGGTGGGGTGGAGGAAGCATTTCTTCCTCTGTATTGTCGAAGGCTTTCATGGCCAGAATCACTGGGTTGTTGTAGGTTTTTTCGGGCTATATGGCCATGTTCTAGAGCCATTCTCTCCTGATGTTTCGCCTGTATCTGTGGCAAGCATCATCAGAGGTAGTAAGGTCTGTTGGATGCTGATGTCAGGGCAAGTGATGGTGTAAAGGTAGGTGCCATGTTCCAACTTGGGGGGGGGGGGGAGCCATGGGAGAACATCTAGGCTAAGTGCCCAGTGGCACCAACTCATTCTGCTTCTGTAGTGGTGGTGGGGAAGTTCATGTGGGGACTCTCCATGGCCCGTAACCAGCATGCTGAATTGGCCACAAAAATGGGGCTGGTGTACATGTAAATCTCATTGCTTCCATATTTCTATTGTACTTGAGACAAATAACTGAATTTAGAAAAAGTAAAAACAATACATAGACTCATGAAAATATGAACTAGGACCCTTGCATGGGATGGATATAATCATTTGAATCCCTTGCCATCAGTTTTATGATTTGGGATCAGAGCCACACCATGCATGCAATTTTTGTTGTAAAAAAAAGTGCCAATGTGGTCAGTAGATAAAATATGGGCTGGACTGGGACAAAAGTGGACACCAAGGTCCTCTCTTTTCCTGTACTTAGAATAATGACTGAAATTGGAACTACTTTAAAAAAAGAAGAAAAGATGTAGCTTTTAGCAATGTCCTTAAATTATCATGTTATGGGCATGTCGTCCTACTTGTATTTGGCTGGGACATCTCAAGAACATATTAATTGTATCTGACTTCTGAACAATCTGTGCACATGTTTTAATCTTCAGATACATAATCATTGTTTTATGCTTATCCAAGGATTGTGATGTTACTCTTTTCAGTTTGCTGAAGCAGCTTGTGGGACAGTCCAAGTCATGCTCAATGGGTCAATAGAAACTGGTGCATTTAGAAATGACAGGTATATTCTTCCTTTTGTAAGGTTTGTCTGTCTGGTCATTTGTGAATAATTGTCAAGTAGGCATGCTAGCAAAGCCATATTCTCACCTGCTTAACATTCCATAAGAAAATGCTTTGCATGCATGGTTGAGAATATGCAGCCTTCTTCACTATTTATTTGTGTGATTTAGAGGCATACATTTTTGTAGCTTAGCTTTTGTGTTCTTATTCTAAAATAACAGGAAGACACACAAGGACTCATAGTAAAGAAATTTCTTAAAAAGATGTAAAAAGATGGGCCAGAGGTTTAGCACAGCTGGTAAATCATCAGCAATTATAAGATCTATCAACCAAAAGGTTGCAAGTTCGAAGCCCTGAGTTGGCATGAGCTGCCAACTGTCAGCCTAGCTCATTGTTTACCTAAGCAATTTGAATACAGTTTTAGCTGTGATTAGAGAAATTAGGTATCGCTAAAAGCGGGGGAGGTGTTTTACGACACTATAAAGAAAGAAGATCAGAAAATGCTGGGCGACCAAAAGGAAGGAGGAAGTCCTAATGGCTCTTCGTCATAGAGGATAGAGCAACAGCACCCCCTGGACTCGAGCCCAACCTTCCATGGCACCTCCTTCTGTTCTGTCTGTCTGTGTATTTTCTATACAAAGCGGCATTTAATGTTTGCCGTGTATAAGTACTATATACCATATGCTAGAAAAAAATGTTTGAGATCCTTTTTCTGTTTCTGCTCTTTCAGCATTTTTGGCAGTGTTGAAATTAGGAACTTAAATTCGGATAAGATTTCCGGGATGTACGTTTGGTTAATGCATGATATTGATGGACCACAAAGGTATGATTTCACAGTATAGAATAAAATAAATATATACACTAAATCAACATCTTCATAGAGCTGGTTGTTCCTGAATGATCTCCACATTCTTCACTGGTTGGCTTGTTCTTGTTAAATTTACATTAAAATTAATAATTTATATAGTCCTTTGATATGCAGTTCCTCCACAAAATGGGCAAAAGAGCACTCTCTTGGCATTACAGAATTAAATGCATGCTTCTGAAGTTAGGCATAACTACAGTCCTATATCATTTTTTTAGCCGAGTTCTTTGCTTTTTGGCTAAAGGCAGACTGAGCATGAAAAATGAATATCAGTATCATATCACTAAACAGAGATAGGTTTTCCTAAAGAATTTATAATTTGATATGAATTGCTGTGCTTTGAGAACATAAGTATGAAAGCAGTTCAAAGCAGTCATCTAGATATACCCACAGTTTCAGGGACTATATCCACAATGCTATATTATAGCAGTTTGACACCACATTAACTTTGATGGCTCAATGGTATGGAATCCTGGGATTTGTAGTTTTGTGAGATATTGATCATCAACTCATAAAATCATAGAATCATAGAGTTGGAAGAGTTGGAAGAGACCTCATGAGTCATCCAGTCCAATCCCCTGCCAAGATGCAGGAAAATCAAATTCAAGGCACCCCTGACAGATGGCCATCCAGCCTCTGTTTAAAGGCCTCCAAAGAAGGAGTCTCTACCACACTCTTAGGCAGAGAGTTCCACTGCTGAACAGCTCTCACAGCTAGGAAGTTCTTCCTTATGTTCAGGTGGAATCTACTTTCCTGCAGTTTGAAGCCATTGTTCTGCATCCTAGTCTCCAGGGCAAGAAAACAAACTTGCTCCCTCCTTGCTATGACTTCCCCTCACATGGCCATCTCAGCCTTCTCTTCTCCAGGCGAAACATGCCCAGCTCTTTAAAATGCTCCTCATAGGGCTTGTTCTCCAGACCCTCCTCTGGACAACCTTCTCTGTCAGAGAGCTGTGGCACAACAACATACTGCATATCCCAGGATTCCATGGGATGGAGCCATGGCAGTTAAAGTGGGGTCAATCAGCTATAATTCTGCAGTGTGGATAGTCTTGTATTTTCTGTTCACAGGATTTTTGACCCTTTGTACTGCTCCAAAACATGCAAAAATATGTTTCTCAAGAGACAAAACACACAAAATAAATACACTTGCAGATACAATGTCTCGCAAGTTTGCATCTTCGGCTTTCTAAGCTAGAGTTTGATTCTAAATTTTGCCTCTCTAATATGTGCGTAATTTTTTTCCTGTTTTTGCACTATATATCTTGATCTTGCACTTTATGATTTCAAGCACAGCTTTACATTTTTCTGGCTGTAATACTAAGAAATTGCTCTATATTTCTTGGGAGAAAAAATAGTGCAAAATATTTAGAACTAATTTCTCTTTGTCACCAATATCACATTTTTTGGAACTGAACTGCATCTATCTATCTATTTATTTATTTATTTATTTATTTATTTACTTCATTTGTATACCGCTATTCTCAGCCCTAAGGTGACTCATAGCGGTTTACAACAATCAAGCAAAAACAAGGCAAACAATCAAGGCAAAAATTCAATGCGGCATCAACAAGGTACTTAAAAACAATTAACACAGAAACAGATTAAACAATTTAACAGTAATAAACATTCAAGTGGCGTCTCATAACTAGAATCATGATCCAAACTCGTCAGTCATAGTTCCATTTCCTGAAATTCATTGCACTGCCTATTCAAACGCTTGTTCAAATAACCAGGTTTTCACTTTTCTCCGGAATACCATCAATGAGGGAGCCAATCTAATGTCCGTGGGAAGGGCGTTCTACAATCTTTTATCATAGTATTCATTTTTATTGATAACATGGGAAGTGGGGAAGGGTACAAGAATGAATATAAAGCAAGGACATTTTTAATAGCTTATGTTATTGTCTTCTTCTGTCGTTATCTAATGCACAAAAGGTTTATATGATGTTAAACTCACTTCCAAACAACAACCCATTTATTATCTAATCTAAAAAAAAGAATAGAAAAGCAGGTATAGAGTGTATTAAGCAAAGAAGATAGGAAAGTTGAGAAATGGAAAATAGAAAGACCTATCTAACATTTCCTACCCTCTCACTGCTGTCTTCTTCATAATCAAAAATTTATTTTTTGTCATATCTTATTTATAGTAGATTAACTTTTCAGGATTCTTTGAATACCATTGAGGATCCTGTTATTCTTGTAACAAACTCCCATTTTTTCAAGATTGCTGTGAGTTTTCCGGGCTGTGGAACCATGTGGTTTTCTGCATGGTTTTCCGTGAGCCTGGAACACTCACATCAACTTAATGATTCTGGCCATGAAAGCCTTTGACAATACATTCCCCATTTTTCTTTTCTTGTTGTTCCTGCATCTCTGTCATGCTGATTTGCTCTTACTAATATAAAAAAAACCCAATGTTTTTTTTCTGGTTTTTTTTTTAAACCAACAACAAAAGGCTACCAATCTAATTTAAATTTGGGAGGGTGTGGTGATTTATTTCTTTATTTCTTTACTATATTTGTGTACCGCCCTTTTCAACCCGGAGGTGACTTAGGGTGGTTCACAGTTGGCAACAATTTGATGCCTCAAACAATTATTATTATTGTACCCTCACCTTTTCCCGATATACATCCTCTCACTTCCCTTTTCCCCTTTAGATACTCCCTTTCCCCTTTCCCCTGATCTATCCTTCCCTTCCAATCTAATGCCATGTTTTATGCTGTAGAAATAGAAAGCTTTCAATAAAATTATTTTAAAAATTATAAACAAGTAAAACAATCATAAAATACTGTTAAAAACATTTAGCATAAAATATATAAATAAAAATAGAAAAACCGTACAAAGCCATAAAAACATTGTTATGAGCATCTCCTAGTCAAAATCATTATTCGATTGCATCGTCAGGTCTTCCCATGATTTCGTATAATTATGCTGGATTAGCGATTGTAGAAGCATAGTCGATTTATCCATAATCCTTTGGGTTTCTTTGGTTGAAGTTTCTGTTCTATGTCAGCAGAGGTCTCTACACCACGTAAATAGGTTTTGAGGAACACTTGGAAAAGCAGCAGCATTAGTACTTTTTCTTCCAAGCCCAAAAGGAGTGTATAAAAACCATACAAATAAATGTTAGCCCAAATAAATGCTACTTCTTATGAAAAACAAACAAACAAATGACATTATCAGTTGTTATATTATGTGTAAGAGGACTATTGTTGCCCAGAGGTAATCTTATGTCAGTAATGTGTGACTTTAATTTGCGGTACACAGCTAACCCTGACTATTACACTGCCAATGATCATTTGGAAAAGCGCATGGACATCTGATTGTTTTTCTTTCCAGTGAATTTTGTGGGGGCCGTTCCATCACAGTCCTAAAAGAGATCCTTAAAAAGCAGAAAATAAGAGTCTTTTGTGAAGATAATTACAGGTAGGTTTCTATAACCTTTTGTGTTCCAGTGATCTGATTTTTTTTTAAAATGGGGAAACTTTATATTTTCAAGCATTGGTAATTTCCATGTAATATGCAGGACAGGGATCTACTTTAAAAGAACTTTGAGTAATGTTTACAGATTTTTTTTTCATGTCAGAAGTGACGGGGGGGGAGGGGGCTGCTGTCACTCCATCTTCCATGCCAAGGAGCTTTGTTGTCTTTAGATGCTCGCCAGCATGTCCGCATGGGCGCCTTTTATTACTTCCCCCCCAAAGCGGTGCCTGTTTGTCTACTCACATTACTGTTTTCAAACTGCTAGGTGAGCAGAAGCTGGGTTGATGGCTGGGAGCTCACCCCAACCTGGGCTTGAACCGTCGACCTTTCAATCGGCAAGATTTTCTGCACCTGGCAGTTTAACCTGCTGTACTAAAGCCCAGCCCTATAATCCAGTTCAATGCAGTTAAGCATCATTCTGAACCTGGATAATACGGCAATGTAGATCCAGCATAAAGGTTTCTGAACACCACCCATTTCCACAAATCTGCTACCACCAATATGCAGTGTTTACAGTGGACTCTGCAGAAAATATGTTAGATGTACTCCACAAAAGGAAAACGTGCCTGTTTAGGAAGCCTTGAAAATACTAGTTTATTATCAGTAAATGTTTGATTCATATACGTATATACCTGGGATCACATATAAAATCCTCGGGCAAAGAGGTGTTACAAGTGGAAAAAGATTAAGAAGCCCTTGCATCAGTGAATGAGTGATTTGACCTGTTCCCTAACAAGTGTGCACAAAATGAGTCCTAATAGTATGCAGGCAAACAGCAGAAAATGATCTGAAATACCTCCCTCTCTCTACTAGAGTAACTGGTAGTTTCTGATTCTTTGCTTTATTAAAGCAGCCACTGTATAAATGGATTTGCTTATGTGTCTTTTATCTTTCAACAGGCCCGTTCAATTGCTTCAATGTACCAGCAGTCCTGAGCACACCGCCTGCAAAGCTTGTTCATGATACCACGGTTCCCTGTGCTGTTTATATCATTGTTCAGCTTTGTATAATATGGAATGTTGTGTGTGTGTGTGTGTGCGTGCGTGCGCGCGCGCCCTTCCACACAGCCCTATAACCCAGAATATCAAGACACAAAATCCCACAATATCTGCTTTGAACTAGGTTATCTGAGTCCACACTGCCATATATTCCAGTTCAAAGCAGATAATGTAGGATTTTATTCAGCTGTGTCGAAGGGCCTGCGTGCACGCATGTGTGTGTGTGTGTTAGAAATCTCTAGATCCTTCGTATGCTGGGACCAAAAGTGAGGTAATTTTATGGTATTCGGCAATATCGGCAGTTTCATGTAATCACAGTCCAACCAGAAACATAGTTCCCACAGATATGGGGATTATAATTTCTCCCTTCCACCTACTTAAACTTGTGTATTTATGTGTGTATATACTTGGAACTAAACTAAATGCTGGCAGATCTTTGTATTTTATACCCACATCTGCTTCCCAACCCAACTCAACAAATTCAACATTCAACCTGGCGATTCAACATGTATGTAAATTGTCTGATCACTGGATCGATTCAACATAATGCTATTACATTAGATTTAGCCCATAGCACACAAAGGGTAAACCTTTCCCCGCTTGTATCTTAAATCTCCAATCTTTCCCCTTAGATCTATTTTCATACAGCCATGTTTAGTAAAAGATAAGGGTAAATAGGGATGAAAGCTTTGGGAACCCTCCAGGACTCTGTAGCATTGAGACACGACAGTTAAGGTGGTGTCAAACTATATTACTTCTACAGTGCAAATGCATCCTGAAATCTGCAATCAAAATGGCAATGTGCTTGCTGAAAACCAAACTACAATCAAATCCTCTGCCTCCATTGAAATCCTGCGTCACATGGCTTTCAGTTGTTACATTTATATTTTACCCTAATTTCTGATCAAACATCTTTGTAGGTATAACAACACACCCCTCATAATACAAATAATGAATCAGTCATTTCATATTTGTTTATATTTGTTTTCTTTTGTACCTTGTTAAAAAAAGTTTTATATTAATTTAAATAGAACTACGTTAATGGAATACTCCCGTCTTAATTTAAAAAGTTCACATCTTATATGTTCCCATTTTTCAGAAACAATTAAATCATGTTTCTTGGACCAATGTATTGAGGTGATGACATTCTTTCATTCATGTGAAATAGTAGCCAAAAGTGAAGATGAAGAATAGTCTAAAGGTGGTGAACAGAACAATTGTTTAAGTGATTTCCAACTTTTTTTAAACCAGGGACCACTTGATCTACTTTTTTTTCTATGGGCCTTCTATCTTTACTTCCAGACAGAAAAAGTGAGGAATAATTTTGAAACATTATGTGTATGTGTGTGTCTTCGATATGCCAGGCAAGTTATGGTGAATTCATACATTTCATAGTGTTTTCTTAGGGCCCATCTAGACATTACCTTTATCTCAGGAGCTCTTGCAGCAAACCGGAGGGTGGCAAAATGCAGTTCCCTGTAAATGTGGAAGGAATTGCTACAGATGGCAAAAAGTGAGCTTTTCAGGTGCAGGAATGTCGTAGAGCTGAGCTGAAAGTCCGCATCTTCGAATGTCTGTATGTCCCTGCACTGGGAAATCATGGGATTTTTTAAAAATCTAGGTTTGTTCCTGGGTTTTAAATGTTTGTTCCTGATTGTTCAGTCCCCAAAAAGAAGGTGACAGTTGAGTAGAATGCAAAAACTTTGTTTGTGTGCCAAAAACTTCATGAAATGTGTGGAGGACACATTTACTTTGGCCAGGACGAAGTTGTGGCCCCCTTAGTCATCGTTGTACATCTTTTCACAAGAAGATCAATCAGAAACAGACATGTATATCCCAGGAACAACATCCTGTCTGCACAGATGGGTCTGCACCTTATATAACCCAGGAATGGATTCTTTGCATCTTGAGTTTCTTTTTTAAAAAAACAGACATCCCGTGGTGGCCATCTTGGGAGCCTCTAAATCCTGCAATGAAGCAGCAAGTGTGGACGACGGAGGCAGAAATCCCGAGACCAACAGGTCTGTATGTGGACCTCTTCTCAGGTCCCGGGATTTTCTGTTCCTGCGATTTGCTGCTGTCTGAATGTCCACACTACCATATATCTCCAGTTCAAAGCAGAATGCAAAAACTTTGTTTGTGTGCCAGAAACTTCAAGTAACATGTAGAGGGCACTTTTTCTCTGGCCAGAACAAAGTTGCGCCCCCCTAGTCCATGTTGTACATCTTTTCACAAGAAGAGCAACCAGGAACAGACATGTATAACCCAGGAACAACGCCCTGTCTGCACAGATGGCCCTTCAGTTTATACAACCCAGGAAATGAACTTATAGAATGATTCACATCTTTGCATGTTCTCATCTTAAGTTGTTTTTTTTTTAAAAAAAAAAAAAAGACCTGCAGAAATTTCCAGCGGAAGTCTCGCAGCCTTAGGCATGAAATACTTAAGAGATAATTTTGCCAGGTCCTTCTTGTGAAATACAACCTACAGCATCTGGTATTTATTGGTCTCCTGTCCAACTACTACTCAGGACTGAGGGCCCTTCCAGGAAGGCCCTATATCCCAGAATCAGATTCCTAGTTTTCTGTGTATCCCAGATTATCTGGCAGCGTGGACTCATATAATTCCATTTAAAGCAGAAAACCTGGGATCAAATCCTGAGATCTGGAAGAGCTCTATGCTTGCTTAGCTTCCAAGAACAGATACGATCTGGTACCTTTAGGATATTCAGGCCTTTAGCATTATTTTTATTTCTCTTTAAAATGTTGTTTCGACTTAAACTGTGATTATGTCACTGCAGGTGTACGTTGCATACTGCAGTGGTTTAAGCGCTCTGGGGGAAACTGCCAAGCAATTTGAATGCTGGCCACATCACGCTAATTCACTTCCGCTAAAGAGAATTGTGGATGTTGTCATTGTATAAGCACTAAAAACTGCCAGAAAGCAAACTTTGGGGTTTCGATTTCATCAAGAAAATGGCATATTTTAAGGCAAATGTGAGCCATTAATTCTGATGACTGCACTCTAATAAATGCACAAGTGGTTATTGGCACTTCCCGCCATGCCAGTAGAAATATTACTTTTGGAAGCTTACAAAGTCAGCTGGCACTAAAACCCAATGAACGTTATGAAGTCATGAAACATTCGTCTTACTTCTACTTTGATCTAAATTGAGAGTTATAGCTTCCAATGAGCTTGTGAAAGTTTGTATAAAGTTCACTAAGATAGGCAGGACTAGTTCATGGGCTGATCTGGGAGCTGTACCACTGCGCTGTTTAAGCCACATAGGTCTGCCCAGAGCTTAGAAAGGAGAGTAAATTGCTGGGATCTTATGTAAGTCACCTTTTAAAGCCATGCTAAAATACATAGAAATTTTTATAGAGGTATCTTCTTGAGTGAAAAAAAAAAATCAATTTCTTTATTTGCTCCCCCCCCCCCCACTTCCAAAGGGGTCTTGTGCCTCAACTCCAGCAAATGTGGAAGGCTGGTTGCATTTGACAACTTGTGGACTGAAATAAATTAATGAAAAACCTTATTAAAATATCTGAAAATATTTTCCTTTCTCCCCATCTCTGGCTCCTTCTGCACTGCTACATAATCCAGATTATCAAAGTAGATAATCCACATTATCTTCATTGAATTGGATTATATGTGTCTGCCCCCATCACCATTCACTGATCACCATGGGACTTTTGTTGGTTTTTTAAATTTTTCTTTGGAAGACCGTGAAGATTTTTTAATGTGTGGAGGTCGGTGCACAACTGATCAACATACAGTCTTCACAGAGTGAGGTTCCACTGGTGGTGTAGTTTAACACAAAGACCGTGGCTTCTCAATCTGTTGCAGCCATCTTCCACCTTCACAGCCATTGTAACATGTGCCATGTTATCCTCCACGTGCTCCACCATTGAGGTCTTTAGGTCTTCCGACTGTGCTTGGTCTGGAACCTCCCCTGCAGCCACTCCTGGGAGTGCACGAATCCAGTTGTTGTGCCTGCAGGTTCATTGGAACACACAAGCCCCCTCACCACAACAAGGTGACAGTATATGTATCTACACTGCCATATAATCCCATTCAGAACCGATAATCTGGATTTTATATGGTAGTGTAGAGGGGTTCTCTCTCTCTCTCTCTCTCTCTCTCTCTCACACACACACACACACACACACTCACACACTACTGTGGAAAACAAGTCATAATGGTTTCAGTGCATTAAAATCTTCACAAACATTACCCAATTTAGGGCCCTTCCACACAGCCATATGACCCAGAATATCAAGGCAGTAAAATGCCACAATATCTGCTTTGAACTGGGCTATCTGAGTCCACATTACCATTTATTTATTTATTTATTTATTTATTTGTTTTAAACATTTATATTCTTCCCTTCTCACCCCGAAGAGGACTCAGGGTGGAGCACAGCATATATATGGCAAACATTCAATGCCAGGACAAGAATTCATATATGCATACATAAACATTAAAACCATTTATCTCCAGTTCAAAGCAGATAATGTGGGATTTTATTCAGTTGTGTTCAAAGGGCCTAAGATTTCCTTCTAATGTGTATTGTATGTAGGATTGTACTATTATAATAGCACTGCAGATGTGACTGTTATTGCAAAACAGTTATACTACAGTTTGTGAATTACTCAGTGTGGCAAAACTTTGTGAATTACTTAGTTTGTGAATGCCTCAGTGTGGCAAAACATAAATGTAGAATGGTCAGCATTGCCATTGTACAACCAGAACTTTATGTGAATTCGTCTCCCTGAAGTGATAAACCATATAGGCATACAATATCTGACTGGTGAAAATGGAAGCATTCTTGTATTGCCTCTCTTCTCACATATTACACCTAATTGTCCAAACTCTTGCCTTAACTTCTCATATATACAACTACACTGTCAATTAGTTTCTGGGCAAAGTACAAAATGTTGGTTTGAACCTTTAAAGCCCTGCATGACTTAGGTCCAGGTTACCTACAAGATTTCTTTGAGCCAGGATTATCATTGAGATGACTAATATGACATGTACTGTGCATGCTCAAGTCCTCCTTTTCCTTCTGACAAAGCAAGTAAAACTACACATTCATATGTGTTTTGATCAGCCCTTGACAATTGCGGTTTTTACTATTATAGCTGACAAACAGAAAAGCAATAGGGTTGTTGTAGGTTTTTGTAGGTTTTTCGGGCTGTATGTCCATGTTCTAGAAGCATTCTCTCCTGACGTTTCACCTACATCTGTGGCAAGCATCCTCATAGGCCTGCCACAGATGCAGGTGAAACATCAGGAGAGAATGCTTCTAGAACATGGCCACACAGCCCGAAAAACCTACAAAAACCTACAACAATCCAGTGATTTCAGCCATGAAAGCCTTTGACGATACATTGAAAGGCAATACATCACAACATATATTTCTCATTCTTAGTGAGCTGCATGTGCAAGATACTGCTTCCCCCTTGCATGGAAGTGAAAGCATAAATATAGGTGTTCCATAAAATGTGCATAGAAACCACACCATGTTCAGGATTGGAGGGGATATTTTCATTTCTTACATGGTGCAGATTTGCTGACATCCGAGATGGAGCCACTTAATGTAATTAAAGGTAGCCTGATGAAATGACCAAACTGTATGATGGACAAATTAGGAGCAAAGAAATCCTTTATGGACAGTAATTCAAAGAATGGTGACATTACATTAGCAGAACTGATGCAGAAATGCCAAAGAGTAAATATATCACTCAAAATAACTTCATTTACTTTGTGACAATATTGGCAAGTAACAGAAACATTTTTAAAAATCAGAGAGTGAACAGTTTTGTCAAGATGATTCATCCAGCTATTTTCAAATTTCGGAGAACCTAATCCCAGTATATAATAATTCCCGTGCTATAGAAGGTGACAGTTGAGTAGAACACGAAAACTTTGCTTGTGTACCAAAAACTTCATGAAATGTGTGGAAGACACATTTTCTTTGGCCAGGACAAAGTTGTGGCCCCCTTGTCAATGTTGTACATCTTTTCACAACAATAGCAATCAGGAACAGACATGCATAACCCAAGAACAACACCCTGTCTGCACAGATGGCCCTGCCGCTTATATAACTCAGGAACATAACTTATCAAATGA